TATCTTTGAGATTCCATCAGGAGGTTGGCTTGAAACACAGCAGTGAAGGCTACCTATGGGACAGATCTGGTTGGCAGGCCGTAGACTGAGGAAGTCCTCTGGATGAAAGACAAAACGTTTCTCACTTAAAGAAAATGGTCCAGGTGATACTATTTAAACTTTTTTGTTGTTATCTACATGGATGACTGAGTTACAGTCCCCTTTTGTTGGTAGTATATCTAAATTGCAACAATTCTTCACTGAGAGAAAACAACCGTTCACGTGCACCTTTCTATTAGTTGACATCATGAGCTCCTGTTAAAATTATTACAATAAAATTATCAGGAAATTAAATGTCTTATTTTTCTACCCATTTTCTGATTGTGTAATAAATTGTATGTCGACATATGCAGTGACTTGAGATTAAGTCATTCTTTAAATATACTAACGGTGTTAAATAGATGTTAAGAAATGACGGAGCGCTGTTTCTACTAAGAAACCGTGTGGATTTAATCTGTTTATTTCCATTCATGTAAACCGAGTTATTCAGTGGCTTCAACATGTGTATACACAGCAGTATTTGGTTGAATAATTCATTTTGATCTCAAACTCTTTACAGATATTTTGTTTAAATGGTAAATGGACTGTACTTATATAGCACCTTTCTATCTTATCAAGACAAAGTGCTTTACAACAATCTATGTCCTCATTTACCCATTCATACAGCACTCTACTAGATCTATACAAATACTAATCAGAGCTTTATCACATTCATACACTGATGGGACACACATTGGAGGCAATGAGGGGTTCAGTCTCTTGCCCAGGGACAATTCAGCATGTGACTCCTGGTGGAATCAAACCCCTAACTCTCACATTGGAGGATGTCTGCTCTAGCCACTCAGCCACAGCCGCCCCAGACTTTTAATCATTCCAAAGAACATTATCCAGATTATGGTGCATGTCATGTAGATGCTTTATTTTGAATATACATATAATTGGGAACAGTCTAGAAAAAAAAAAAGGAACATTAAACTGTTTTCATGACATGGATTACCTAAAAATATGTTGTGCCTCACCAAGAAGAAGCATTTGTGTGATGTGGAAAAAGTGAGGCTGTCTAAAGGGCACCGAGATGTGAATCCATGGCAATAGGGCAACTCCAGAGTAAATGAGGATAATTTATGCCATGTTCACCACACATACTCACTTCTTATTCTGTCACAAATAAAAGGTGAATCTTTAATGTAAGGGTTTTGCCATAATACACGTTCACATTGCCAACGTGTTGCTGATGATGGTGGCAAAATAATCGCCTCGTACAGTAGCCATGATTAAACTTAAAGGGATCCCAGTACTTGCAAAACTTAGTGTTTTCATGGTGGACTTTATAGTCTATTATTTGTACACACCAAATAGGTTTAGCTATTTTCCTCATTCCTGAGACACTGTTTCGTACCCTTACCATGCTCTGTGTATCTGCCATGACCATGTCAGGTTGAAGCTACATGCTAAACAATCTGCAGGATTGATTCTCCTGATACTGGTATCATGTCGAGTTTGATTATAATTGCACAAACTCATGAAACCAAAGCCTAGACATGAAGCCAATGTGGCTGATCATGCTTAACAATGTTTACAGCAAAGCTACTTTGGTGTGCATGGCCCATACATCATGGATACACTGTCCCCGCAATAACCCACGCTTTACCCAGGACCCTCATACACTGAAGCTATCATGATAAATTACCACAATGTTGCTATAGAAGTTTTGTGCAGGCTCAAATTCACTGTGGACCTGCCATAATCTATCACATGTAGTACGGAGACCACCCAGTCCATCATATCTAAGGACATGTCCAGTACTATACTTTACCAAGACCAGGCAAAAGCCATCCATATTTGACCATTTGTTATGCCACAGCTGGGCATCATCCAGACTGAAGGCCTTTCTTGGAGAAAAATATTCTCACCTTGTTTACTCAAAAAGAACCGCACTCAATGGCACGAGAAGATTTTTTAACCGGGATTTTACTTGCAAGGTCAAATTTTCATGACAGATAGAATAAATATACATACAATGTACACGCGTGAATATCAGTCACAAGAATCTACCCCATGCTGCCTTCTCAGTTTGCTTTGAAACCTTATCAGTTCAGCTGAATTCTCAGAATTTAGAAGTGTCCTTGGAGCCAGCTGCAGCCTCACCCAACTCCTCATCCAGCCGTCTCCGCTCAACCAAACATACGGTTCATGGGCAGAGATAGGATTCTCAACCATGGTAATAAAAACATCCATAACCTCTGACCAAATATCCTCAGCCTTATACACCAGTAAGTTACAATACTCTATTACCTAATTTCACTTCACACTTTGCAGCCAAAACATTTCTAACTTGTGAAGGCAGGGACAAATGCAACACATCAAAATGCACACAGTGGTATTTGACATCAAAACATCAGCAGCAGGTCGTATAAGTACTGTAACTTGTGAGATGGAGACTCAGTCAGTGTCTGTCCAACACGTCTCAGGCTCAACAGATCTGAAGAACTTGGAGAACTTGTCAACGCCTCACATTATTCCTGAATCATTTTTTGCAGTGTGACAGAGCTCACACAGAAAAAAAGCAGCTGCAACAGGGACTGTCATCTAGTTGGACTGTGGTCAGCAGTAAATTTAACGTGAACGATACGTGTCAAAATAAATACGACATAAATTACAGGATCCAAGCTTTGTCTTCTGAGCATCGCCTGAAGCATCGCGCTGTCCCTGCTGGTGGGTCTATTGTTCCTCTTGGTGCCATCTTTCCCACATCATTAACCCACACAGACCTGGGCATCCACATTATAAATAGAAAATTTATTGGGCTTTTAGTGGATTATTAGATTTTAACATGTCTTCTGTAAATAGTTTTGATAGTAATTACAGATTTGCATGAACACTATGACACTGTTATTATTATTAACTAGTCTATGAACATTTAGTCATTAAAACTAATTTTATATTTATAATTTTAAGGCACAATGTCCCTCAAGTCAAAAATCTGGATTAGACACTAAATAGACGTCTGCACTGAATCAAGATTGACAAGAAATAATCTTGAGATTTCAACATTGCAAGCATTCCTTACATCCAACAGACATCCACATATCCATCATGAAATGTCTGCCTGCTAAAATGTTATGATAAGAATTATTCAGTTAGCCACCCACACAGATACAACCTCAATATAAAACCATGTCCAATCTATCAGTGTGGCATTTCAAAATTAAACGTCCCTCGTAATACCACAACACAGATAATACCCGTGTTCTCATTCCACATGTAAAATTGGACGATGACTTATTTCATGTTTTTCTATACCAGTACAAAGATTTATATCTTAATTTTAATCTATCATTTTACAACTTATCAAGTTGGTTTGACACTCTGATGGTAAAATCAGTATATAGGTGACTAAAAATTGCATTAAATGTTTTTTTTTCTAGATAATTCAAACTTTTTCCAATCCGTGTTAAAATCCCAAATGGCGCTTCATTTTGTAATTACATGATTTACACACTTGAACTGTGTCTTACATCTACTAAGTAGCTTGTGTGGTATGTAATTTAAGTAATAAACTGCTCAGACTAATTTTTTAGCTAATTTTAGATGGAGCTATTTACAGCTAAATGAAGGTTAAACATGTAGACTCAATGTTGGAACCAGTGCTGTAGTCTACGTGATACACCAGTATACAGCGTATAACCACAAAAAATGCTTGGGAATTTCCACATAACCAATTAAAAATGCCCAGTGATATGTAATGTTCCCTCTATGCTGCATAGTTAGGGCAACTGGGCAAATGCCCAAGCAAAATATCTTGTTATTTCCCGCTTTATAATAAACTTTTACAATGAACTGTCAGCCCGAGCGCAGCGATCTCTACAATGCAGCGCATGAATGTGTGCAGACTGGAGGAAGAGACCCCTCCCAGTCAAAGCAGACCTGTGTCACATGATTTGTGTAGCGACAACGGAAGTTTACGAAGCGGCAAAAAAATTAAACCAATGAAATCACAGGCAAACTTTCATTCCAGCCAATCAGCGTCTTCTGGAGTTTTGGTGATGATGTGCGAAGAAGCCAAGTAGCTACAAGCAACCTCCTAGTCTTCTAGCTTTTTCCAAGCTTTATACTGCATATTTCATTGCGTACCAAGGAATAATATTTGACGTTGTGAATTCATCACTGAAGTTTACGGTTGCACAATATTAATCAAAGGCGGTAAGTAAGCTAATCCCACGACTTGCAGCTGTTTTTTGTCATGCTACGTGTTAGCAAACAATAGTGCTGGATGGGACTAAACTGATTTTGTACAAAGTTTTTAATAGTTCAAGCTCAAGTTGTGCAGATGAATTTGAATGAATAAGTATTTCAAGGTAGTAATATAAGCTAAAATGCACATGCTATATATTGCACATATATAACATTTTAGTGTACCCACTACAAAAATATAGAGTACACCACTGTTTCTACGCACAGTACAACTATTACAAAAATGTGCCACTGGTTGAAACCCATTCTGTTGCTCAGAAGATTCCATCTCTCTTTGTGTAGCAATGTATTTTCTGTTAGCTGGTGCCTGTTGCAGGTAAACCTGCTGTCTGTCCACTTATGTTCCAACATTGAAGCATTTTTGTAGTTCTTGAGCTTGGCAACTGAAAATATTCCAGAAGAGCTGCAGTTATGGGATGATTTGCACCAACCATCTATACATCACAGTTTTGCCAAAGTCATGCAAATCCACACCCTTGACCGTTATTTTTTTGTCTCCAACACAAAAACTTCAAGGACAGACTGGTCACTTGCTCCCTAATCCATCTCACCTCCAGACAGGTGATATTTCAGTTAATCCATTTGTGGTCACATGCCATACAAGGCAAACAAAGCAAGTGCTTTTCACAAAACCATAGAAAAACATTTAAAGCCTGCATTTTGTGTGCTGACATGATTGCCTCACAATGTACGTGAATATTACTTACAGGTGATAATGGCCGACCTTGTGATTCCAAAGACTTCTCGAAGCTGCTTACTGTGCAGAAGGCTGAGAAGTGATGTTTTGAGCTGGAGGCTGTCTCGATCTAACCCACATGTCCTTCCAGCAGTTCTTCTTCAGATCATAAGCCACCTGCAGGAAGTAAACAAAATGACAAAGCTAACTTTCAAGATTCGTTAAAGTACATTATTAATCAGTATTAGTCTAGTCTAGAACAGTATCAGTTTATTGATAGAGAAAGTTGATGAGGAAGAGTGGACCGGGCCGCTTGTTCTCAACATCTGGTGAGATTTCATGTTAATAGCACCTTTACAAATATAATTCCTTAACATATACACACACATCAAACTCTAAAGAATATTCAAAGTTCTCCGTGGAACCAAACGGTTCCGTAGAGTTCGGTCCGTGCAGGCAGATGGAGGATCACGGAGACGGCTGCCATGACATGTCTGAACCTGAGCTCGAGGTGGGAAAGGGGCCGGAGAGTGAGGTTCTGTTGGAACAAAGCGAACTGCAGATGGTCCACATAGGTCTCGATGAATTCCCGGTGAACCAGAGCAGCTCAACGAGTGGTGGGTCGTATCGAACCATCCTGGCAGGGTAAAATGCTTTGATCTGTGAGTTGCTGGCTGTTCTCCAAAGCTTTATAACGAATCCGATGAAGTCTACATCTTTTTTACATGAGAGCCGCGACACAAGCTTTTAGAAACAAAGCAAGAGACATTGAGAACTCACCTCAGCTGTGTTGACATGGAGCACAACACATTAAGTGTGATGTCTTCCTTGCATTTCATTTAAACACGACTCATTCTCTCAGTTTAGCAATTCTCAATTAAAATTCCTGAATTGAGCAGTAACATACCAATATATTTTCAGAACTTACAGTTAAGGAGAAAAATACCAAATATAGTATTAGATAGATTTGTTGTTTATGGTGTTGTGCTGCTCTAAAATAGGTTTGGGTTGCAACAAGGGAGAGCAATATTAGTTCCCTTGATACGTTTTACAACCTGGGTGAAAAAACAAACCTTGAGCAATTTCATCCCCCGCTCACCCCAGGTGCCCAACAACTCTAAGCAATGGCGAACTACTGGTCCGTCCTGAAGGCCTGTCATTCCCCGATCTGTTACGGAAGTAGTGTAGCTCATTTGCGCATGCGCTAAAAAGAAATACTTCCGGGTCGTACGGATCGCCATTCAATATGCTAGATTAAGGAAAACGTGCTGGTATAATTCCATTTGTGAATAAGAACCGTCTTAATTTACTTAGAAAAGTATGCGCTCCATCTCCACCGATCTTCATGTTGCTAATTTACGCAACTCGTATTTCCGTTAAAATCATTGACATAGTTACTTCATGGTTAAAGTTATACGCAGCTTCATCACTGAGCGGCGCTGTTTCACCATGGAAATAATAATTCCTGTATCTTGCAGGATTTTTCTCATGCAGGGGTCAGGTCTAATGCGTCGCATTTCATCTTAACCAATGATTTGTAACGGAAATACGAGTGGCATAAATTAGCTACATGAAGAAGGGCGGAGATAGAGCACGTACTTTTCTAAGTAAATTAAGACAGTTTTTATTCATAAACAACGGTGATCTGTGCGATCCAGAAGTTCACTTCAGATCGTGCTTCAACAGATCAGGGAATGACAAGGCCCTCCACTCCTGGAGCTTCTGCCTCTGATTCTAAGCTGCTTCATCCCTTCCTGGAATCACTGCAAAAGCTTGAAGTCCGCTCCAGTAAGGTGATTTCTTGTTCTGGTTGATTGATTGACGGTCCCCAAGAGTGTTTTAATGAAATCTGCTCTAATTTTACACTGTTGATAACCGTCCCTTTGAACATGCTGCCTCAACATATTCTCAAATCCAAATTCGTTCCAACTCCATCTCCTTGTGTAATTCTATCCAGTTTATTTTCCATTTACCTCAAGCAAACCATTAATTCTCATTTCAATCATAATTCATAATATATTGGTTTAGTTTAGAGATATCATTGTCTACTATTTCCAATAATAAATGCTGTAAATAAATACAAACTAAAATATCAGTTCTCATATTCATGAAAGTGGTTTGTGGTGCATTCAAAAGAAAATAACCTATTTTAGGGGTTATAGCGTGAGTATTATAATTGTGTAACTTCCTTTTAAATGGGGTGGTTCCCCAATGAGTGCAAAATTAATTCATGAATTTTTAAAGAATTCATTAAATAATTAATATGTTATAACCTTTCTCCTACAGGAGCAGGAATTACAGTAAAACTTGAAATGAGCAGCTTCTCCTTCAACAACCTTCAGATTACCACAGCTTTAAGAAAAATAACAGTTTTTTATAAGTCTTCCAGGAAACTTTTTTTTTTTTTATAAACAGGCTACAGGGAAGACCAAAGAGTTTTTAATAAGCACCATCTGCAAAGCATTTAACATTTAAATTTTTAGAAATGGAGAATAGCAAAAAAAAATTAGCCTATGACAAATGATGGGATTCTTATTAGGCTCCAAATAGCGAGCTTGACTGAGAAGTAATTTCAAGGGTAACGGTATATTATAATAAACAACTCGCACCACTTTAAATCTGTGGTTAAGTGAATTATGTCAACAGGAGAAAAAGCATGTGAGGAGGAGAAACAATTTCTGAAATTTCCACGGCGTGCTACCGTGATTTCACAAATCATCACTGAGCAGAAGTATTTGTTACTGATATATTAGGACTTTCATTTTTACCCCCCTGTGTTTGTGACAAGATTAGGCTATCTCTCCTTGTGCACATGGATGACTCCTGGGGGGTATTTGCATCACTCTTAACACCCTCACTCCTTCCCGAGGCAGGAAACATTTCTATTTTCAATGAGATTAGCTCTCACCACAAGCTAGGCAAGAGCTTCACCCACGTGGCACGTGCACCCTCCAGGCAACCAGCAAACATACCTTACCGAGGCATTCACTGTTCCAACCTCTGTGATATTATTCGGTTGCCCCCGTTTAAAATATTCACAACAAATGACCCCCTGTTCTCATGCTGCAAATAAAAATGGTTGCTCAAATGAAAACGTGTACTTTACTTGCAGAGATTAAAAAAATATATAACTTTTTGATGACCGAGTTCAACGTTCCATCTCATGAAAATATAGACTAAAGAAATGTGATGAGCTGACAGCCTTTAGAGCATACCAACACTTTTACACCTTTCTTGTGGGATGCGTCACAAACAGTGATGAGTCCAGCTACAGGCAGGAGGTGGAACACCTGGAGAGCTGGTGCAGGAAGAACAACCTTCACATCAATGTGAAGAAGACGAAGGAGATGATCGTGGACTTCAGATGGAACAA